AGTTATTACTACAGTCACACTGATATTCTTTAGATTAAATTTACATCTTCCAATCTCTCACTTTTAATTGGTATATTTAGGTAATTTACATTTAATGTAATTAATGCAATTATTGCTATATTAGGGCTTAAGTTCTGCCCTTTATTTTTTGTGTTTGTTCTGTTTTTGTTTTGTTTTGTTTTTTGCTTCTCTGTTTGATATTTCCTGCTTTCTTGTGGGTTACTTGAACATTTTTTAGAATTATTTTTTATTTACCTATAGTTTTTTTTTTTTTAATATCTCACTGTATAGCTGCTTTAGTGGTTGCTCTAGGGATTATACTATATATACACATAACATCACAGTCTACTGGTATGGACATTTTATCAGTTCATGTGAAGTATAGAAACCTTATTTCCCTTTATGTCCCTTAACCCTTTCCTTATAATGGCCTTATGTATTTCTTTTACATACATTTAGAACTATATCAGATAATGTTAAGAGTTTTTGCTTCAACCATCAAACATAATTTTAAAAACTCAAAAGAAAGAAAATATGTCACATTTACTCACATTTGTATTCTTTCCATTTTTCTTTTTTCTGAAGTGACAGTCCAAGTTTCTTCCTTTTATCATTTCTTTTCTGTCTAGAAAGCTTCCTTTAGCCATTCTTTTAGGATAGGTCTGCTGGAACAAATTTTCTTAGTTTTCCTTCATCTGAGAATATCTTGATTTCCCCTTCAGTCTTGAAGGATATTTTCACTGGTAATAGGATTCTGGATTGATAGTTCTTTTCTTCTTGTACTTGAAAAATGTTGTGCCACTTTCTTCTGGCTTTTATGGTTTCTGATGAGAAATTCAGTCATTCAAATAGTTTTTCACCTATAGGTAATGTATCATTTCTTTTGCTGCCTTCAAGATTTTTACTTTTTATGTTTTTTTTTTAGAAGTTTGATTGTGTTTTTGTGTGGATTGGGTTTATCCTGTTTCGGATTTTCTTGGCTCCTTCAATCTTTTGTTTAATGTCTTTTACCAGATTGGGGAAGTTTTCAATTTCTTCATGTACGTGTCCAGTAGCATCTCTTTCCCCTTTCTTTCCAGTACTGCAATTTAAGACTTGCATTATAGTCCCACAGATCCTTGAAGCTCTGTTCGTTTTCTTCCCCCAGTCTGTTTTCTCCTTATTGTTCAGGTTGGGTAATTTCTGTCATTTCTTTCAAGTTTATGGATTCTTCTATTCTCCCCATTCTGCTGTTGAGCCCATCCAGTGAGCTTTTTATTTTTCTCATTGTATTCTTCACTTCTAAGTTTCTATTTCTTTTTCTTTACACCTTCCATTTCTCTGCAGAGACATTCTATTTCTTCTAAAAATAGAGTAAAACTCTATTTTTTGTGTGTTTCAATCATGTTCATAATTGCTCATTGAAGTATTAAGAGCTGCTTTAAAGTCTCTGTCAGAACATGCTAACACTTCAGTTGTCTCAGTGTTGGCATCTATTGATCATCTCTTCATTCAAGTTTAGACTTAGACTTTCTTGGTTCTTGTTATGATGAGTAATTTTCTTTTGAAACCTGGACATTTTAAGTATTATGTTATGAGATTGGATATTTTTTAAAGCTTCTGTTTTAGTTGGCTTTTCCTGGTGACAGAAATGGGATGACTTTTTTCTGTCTGCTGAGGGTACAAATCTAGGTTCTCCACTTCTTGGCCTCCCAATACCCAAGTGAGGGCAGGGCTCCTCACTACTCCTGGGCCAGAGCGGGTACTCCAGTTCCCCACTCAGCTTCTGCTGATAACACCCTGGCTAAGAGTGGTAGGAGTGCTTGTTTTTGCTCCCCATTTGGCCTCCTTACTGCTGTGTAGTTGTGAAAGTCCTGATTCTCCACTGGGTCTTCTCTAACAACATCCCAACAGGGAGAAAAAGGGGCACATTCTGCTGGGTGGGAGACTGGAATATAAGCTCCCCACAAGGTCTTCATTGTAGGTGGAGTTTTGTTACTCCTGGAAGGGATGAAAGTCCCAGCTTCTGACTTAGCTTTCTCTGCACCACCTCAGCAGAGGGGTTGGGGTGCATAATTGCAGGCTGATGAGGGTGGGTGTCTGGGATCCCCACTCAGCATTGGCTGGTGGGGTGGAGCCATAGATTTGTGATGTTTGGCTGGAGTAGAACAGTTATTGTCTAAGGCTTTTTGTTTTTCTAGAGGGCCCCTTCTCTGGTCCTTAGGGCCAGAGAGAACAGGCTTTTGCTGTAGATGTTTCTGTTTGTACCCCCTGGTGTTTCTGGATTGCTGGCTTCTTTAGCTCAAAGTCTGGGATATATAAGGCAAGAAGAAAACCCAAGGAATTCACCACCTATTCTTCCTTGGGTTCCTAGGTCTCTAGCTGGTCTACTTTCTTATTTCTACCTTTTTAGAGTCTTCCAGTTTTCTTATGTTTGTTTTACATATGATATCCAACAGTTTTAGTTGTACTTAGCAGGGGGAATAGGGAAGAGTATATATGCTCCATCTTTCCAGAAGCAGAATTCCACTTGACTTTAAATGTATCGTTTTACCAAACTCTCAGAACAATGCCATGAAGGCGATATTATACCCATTTTTCAGATGAAGACACCGAGGTTCAGATGTCATTCACCCAGTAAGTGGTATAAAGATAATTGGAAGACAAATGGGGTAAGAGTCAAATGAGTAAATACAAGTGGGGGCAAAATAGCTCACTCCCTTCTTGTTTGTTTGTTGTTGTTGTTTTTTCTAACTGCATCTTGGTCCTTTAAAGAGGAACAAGGAAAGGGGTGGGGACATGTAACAAGATCCTTTTGATCCCAGGCTGTAGTTCTTCAGTTTCTTTAGCCCTGACAGGTCTAGTCCTATCTCCCACCAGAATGTTCTTTCTGGCAAGGGACACCCTCACCACCCTCACCTGTCTCCCACCTTCTTCCCTTTCTGCTACCCTATGCTCTGTTACTCTAAATTGCATCAGTGGCTTATTTTCTGAGCCCTTTCTCTTTCAGCCATAAACACGTGCCTCTTTCTGAAGTACATGAAGAATCCCTCAGTGAAAGACTGAAGAGAGGCTTGAGTTAGTGGCTCCTTCTTTGGGTACCTCAGGTGATGTCCCCTGGCAGGCCACCTTGAACATTTGTGGCCTGGGAAGAACAAATGCAGGCCTCTGGTCCACCTTCCCACTTTCAAGCCTCAGCTTCACCCTACATGACAAGGGGCCTTGCATAGGTCCAAATCCCATCCACACCAGACCCCATGAACTGCTCTCCCTGCATCCCAGTCTGTCCTGGGACTCAGGGAAGAGACCCAAGCAGGACCTCAGACAGCCACCTGGGAGGGGGCTTTCTGAGAGCCTCATGTGTCCAGAAAGAGAAGGTATAGGCTCCAATGAGAGCATCTAAATAGCCCTATAAGCCCTTTGTAGAAAGGCATGCAGTTGGAATTTAGTCCCAATGGGGTCCATGGCCTTTCTATTGAAAGCATGGTTTATAAACCAGCAGCATCAGCACCACCAGGGAACTTGTTAGAAATGAAGATTCTCAGGCCCAACCCCACAGCTACTCAACCAGAATATGTTAAACAAGATCCCCAGATGATTCATATTTTAAGTGTTAGAATTTGAGAAGCCATATTCTGAGGCAGGTGCCGAAGAACAGAACAATATTGCCTTATGGGGGTGAGAGGGGACAGGAGTTGCTTGTCTTAGGACTAGTATTTTATAAGCCGTATGGGAGAATGTAGACTTTGCCCAGTCTAAGAGAAAGAGAGATGGAGCTTTTCCAGTAGTTCTACAATGCTTTATTTGCTGGGGGAGGGGAGGGAAATTTCAATGGATCATAACTCCTACCCCACAAACCTCTTATGTATGTATTCCCAGGCAAATGACTTCTCCCAGACTCTCGGGCTTTTTTCTCCACACAATAAAGAAGTTGAACCAGGTGATCTCTCTCTAACCCTCCCTCCAGGGAAGCAAAACGTCCTCGAATGGGAAGCAGCATAAAACTGTGAAAACAGCATGCATCTTTTCTTTTTATTATGTTATGTTAATCACCATACATTACATCATTAGTTTTTGATGTAGTGTTCCATGATTCATTGTTTGCGTATAACACCCAGTGCTCCATGCAGAATGAAAACAGCATGCATCTTAGAGGCAGACTGAGCCTGTTTCACATTATAGCTCGACCATATATTCCTTGTGGGACCCTGTACAACTCAGCCTCTCTGGTCCTGAGTTTTCTGTCTCAAAAAGTGGGCTAATAAAACTGCTGTATCAGCAGGGATGCACACAGAGGACCTACTACAGAACTGTGGCCTATAGTATAGGTTCAGAAAATACTAATGTTTATTCCAGCACAAATGTTTATACCTTTTGTAGAGAATCGGCTGATCCTACAGGCAGAACAAAGACACAGAAACTTGTAGAAATGTTATGAGTCCCTGCTTCTTCATTTTCTTACCTGACAGGGTCTCTTTCTTCATAGAAAGGTCTGAGCTTTGTCGACAATACCAGAAGCGGGAAGACTTAGCTCTGAACCAGTGGTCAGATCCATTAAATGAATTCTCTGTTCCTATTCAGACTAAACACAGGGACCTAATTCTCACAGTCTGTTATCTCCCTCTCCACACACGGAGTTACCAGGGGAGTTCAAGAAAGACACCACAAGGAGAGAGATGAAGTTTCTATAGGAGGAGAAGGAAGAAAAATGAATTGCCGTATCTTGATTTTCCCTCCCACATACCTACAGAAGGCAAGGCATCTAAGTAGATTGGTGAAGGAGAGAATAGAAGAGGTAGAGAGAAGGCAGCACTAGGAGTTGTGAGATAGCATTGATGCCCAACTGGATGTATTTATATTTTTAAGAGACCAGGCAGGGGGTAAAAAAAAAAAAGAAACGAGATGGTAGAGCAGCATGGCTGTGAATTTTTAAACTTATAGTTAGCTAGAGGGAAAATACCATTTTTGCCACATTTTCATTCCACACAGGGTTACAATATTAATTGGCTTAGCAGACTTACAATCAGCAATTTCTTTTGCAGTGCACAGGTTAATGGAGTTGCCAGAGTGTTTCAGATATGAAATTGTTGCCTCATAATTATGTGGTTCTTCAAATTCAGCACTGAGAAGCATAGAGAAAAAGGTTACTTAAAATAAAACATTACTTTAAACATATTTTAAAACTTTTTGTATTTTTTCTTCATTAGAGAGGTAATATGTCTGATGAATGTGGTGATTTAAACAGATATGGAAGGCACACCATCCCTACTCTAAACTATAGAAATTCTGAAAAATATAACACAAAGAATTATATGAGGAATACAGAACTCATCTAGAAATCAGTAAAGTCTCCAGGTGCCATATATAGGGAGGAAAGCACAACTAAAGATGTAAGTGAGAATTACATGCAAAGGGAAACTGAGACAGATAAAGAAAAATCTTAATGACTGGGTGGCTGAGGATTTATTTTGAGTCAGAAGTAATGGGAAGCTAGAACTAAGCTATCAGCATAAAGTTCAGAGTCAAAAATGCCATTTCATCTGTAAAACAAATTGTAAAAAATATGTGTACACTTTCCCAGGGAATAGCAGGGAAGGTCGGTATCCAGCTATGACTTTTGGAGCTAAAAGAACCACTCATGAGAAATCAGAAACTTGAAAACCAAGTACAGGTGAGGTTCTAAATGTATACTGTGTATTTCAGAGACTCAGAGACAAAATGGTGCTTGCAATCCAACCCTCTCTTGTACAGCAAATCTGAAATCATTCTGTAAAGATGCTTCCACAACCCAAGGCACCTATGGTGGCCAAAGGAAACAATTCCCACCTAAAACAAGCTTATAGTAAAAAAAAAATGCAAACCACACAAAGAGATGAGCTACCACACATAGTCAGAAGATATAACAGAATGACAGAATTAAACAACAGAAAGACATGAAAGTGACTTTAAAATAAGTATTTTTTTAAACGTTCAAAGAAATAAAGGAATAAAAGTCATTAGGTAAAAAACAAAACAAACAAAAAACTCAAGAGCATGAAAAAAGAACGTAGCTTTAGGGACAGGAGAAAGGAGTTACAGAAATTATTAGTTCTTGTAATAAAAAATTTAATGCAGAAGTTGAAAAAGAGATTAGACACAGCAGAAGAGAGAACTGGGGAATTAGTTAGATTTAAGGAAGTCACTCAGAATGTAGCACAGAGAGATGAAGAGATGGAAAATAATAAAAGAGAAGTTAACACAGTGGAGAAGATATAATGGGAAGTTTCATCATATATAGACCAGGGAATCCAAAAGGGAAAAAGGAAAGGGATGATGAAAAGGAGTCAGTATTCACATGATAATACCCAAGACTTTTAAAATTAAAAAGGGACATAAATCCTTCAATTGAAGTAGCTTCAACAATAAGAAATAATGATAAATCCACACTTACATACTTTGTAATAAGTTAGCATAAGTCAAAAGAAAAAAAATGTAAAAGCTGTGTGAGAGAAAAGATAGATTACCAAGGAATAGCAGACTGGCAAGGGGCTTCTCATTAGCAGCAATAGGTGGTGGAGATTGTGGATAATATCTTAAGGGCTGAGGAAAGATATCAGTATCAAATTATCTTCTAGCTAAATTGTCATTAAACCTGAGGGAGAAACAAAGACCTTTTCAGAATACCAGTACACATATTTATTGCTCTGAAATACATCAAATCATTCAAATAAATTGAACTAGTAATGAAGTAGGATATAAGAAACAATGGTGGGGGAGTATCTAGAAAAGATGGCAGAGCAGGAAATCCTGAACTCACCCGGTCCCACAGACACAGTGAGATAACAACTGCATCTATCGAACGAACTCTGAAATTTACCTCAAGACTGGCAAGACAGACCTTCCACTATTAATTGGACAGAGACCACATGGAAAATGGTAAGGGGGTGGAGACATAGTTGGGAAGCAAATCCTCAGCAAGACTAACCACAAATGGGAGGGACACCACAAACAGGAAGAAGCAGAAGGATCAGACCCCCCCCAAGGCACCAGGGACCTACATTGGGAAGACGAGTCCTCATAACATCTGGATTTGAAAACCAGTGGGGCTTAACTTCTGGAGCTTTTAAAATCAGCAGGTTTAATTCTGGGAGAGCTGGAGGGTGAAAAGAAACCGAGTTGCTGAACTGAAAGAGCCAGCATAATAAATAACTTGGATGAGACACAGCACAGAAGCAGCAGTTGGAAAGGTGCCGGGGGTAGATGTCAGTTTTTATTTACTACTGTCAGAATGGGTGCTGGTGGTGCAGGAATCTTCAGGAAATTTCTCCAGGTACCAAAGCAGTGGCAGGCACCATTTCTCCTCCCCCTCCCCCACTCTAGATGATCAGACACTTGTAGGAGCCAGCTCTAAAACTCTCAATCTAACTTGCTAGCACCACATGCCCCACCCCCGTGTTCACCTGCAGACACGCCCCATCCAACCCACCCAACCCAGCAGGTGTCCCTTCAAAGCACTCCTGCCTGGCCATACCCTACATGTGGCCCCAGCAGAAACCATTATCATTCCAAAGTGACTCCTACCCTGGAGAGAAGAGGGAGATAATACTACACACCAGCATGCCCACAGTTCCGACTGGCTGTGCAGGAAGTGGGCCGTGCTGTGGGGTGAGCCTGCAACTGTGGCAGAGAAGCTAATTGCAGACATCCAGTCTGACTGCTGACCCTGCCCCCCATAGGAGCCCCCTCTGGTCTCAGACAGGCCTCTCAACAGCTGAGGGACCAAACCTTGAGGTTGTGCTCACAACAGGGAAAGTGGGCCATTGCAGCCAGCTGGACTGAAAGCAATCACAGCTCAGACACAACAGTAAGGCACACACAGCCCACAAGGGAGAGATCCCTGCAGTGCCTGGTTCTTGGGACCTGGAGGGATTATGCTACAAGACATGATAGGACCTCTTCTACACAAGACCACTACTTTTAAGACCAGGAGATGTAGCTGACCTCCCTAATATATAGAAACATAGGGAGTTAGACAAAATGAAGGGACAGGCAAATATGTCCCAAATAAAAGGATAAGACAAAAATCACAGCAAAAGAGCTAAATGAAACAGAGATAAACAATATGCCTGATAAAGACTTCAAAGTAATGGTCATAAAGACATTCACTGGACTTGAGGAAAGAGTTGATGATCTCAGTGAGAACTTCAATAAAGAGATAAAATATATATAAAAAAGAACCAGTCAGAGATGAAGAATTCAATAACTGAAATAAGAAATACATGAGAGGAGGGGCACCTGGGTGGTTCAGCTGGTTAAACGTCTGAATCTTGATTTCAGCTCAGGTCATGATCTCAGTGTTGTGAGATTTAGCCCCACATTGGGCTTCACACTGGGCACAGAGCCTGCTTAGGATTTCCTCTCTCCCTCTCCCTCTACCATTCCCCCACTTTAAAAAATACGAGAGGGAATGAAAAACAGATTAGAGGACACAGAAGAACAGATCAGCAATCTGGAAGACAGGGTGATAGAAAGCACCCAAGCTGAATGGCAAAAAGAAAAAAAAAGAGAATAGATAAAGGAAACTCAGTGACATAACCTAATGCAAAAACATTCACATTATAGGGGTCCCAGAAGGAGAAGGAAAGAGAAAAGGGGAAACAAAAAACTTATTTGAAGAAATAATAGCTGCAAACTTCCTGAATCTGGGGAAGGATACAGAAATCCAGATCCAGAAGACAAAGAGAGACTCCAGCATAATTAATCCAAGGAGGTCCACACCAAGACACATAATAATTAAAGTGGCAAAAAGTAAGGATAAAGAGAAAATTTTAAAGGCAGCAATAGAGGAGAGTTACATACAAGGGAAACCCCATAAGGCTATTAGCTGATTTTTCAGCAGAAATTTTATAGGCCAAAGGGGATAGCATGATATATCAAAATACTGAGGGAAAAAAAATTCCGCAACCCATAATAACCTACCCATCTGTCGACCTCAGAGAGTCGGGGACCTGGGGCAGCAAAGGAACTGAGAAAAAGAGACAACAATATAGCGAGCACAGGGGACCCCGAGCGAACAGCCCGAGGTCCCGAGGTTTATTTTCCATAATCTTATATAACTTCTACAACGATATAGATCTATAATGATTTACAGCAGGGGTGTAGTAACGCACATTCCTCCATGTACCCAGGATTAGTCAAGCACATAAGAATTTTTAAAACAGAATAAAGGAACAAAGAGGGGAGTGTCCAGTGTGCTATTTACAGGATAAGGGAACAAAGAGGGGAGTACACAGCGTGCTGTTTACAGCTGGCTTCCTATCTACAAAACATCTTCTGCTGCGTACTTTAGAACTGACCACACACGTTCCAAGGGCATTTTCCTCTGATTCTTTTGGGTTATTTTTAACCCTGCAATCTCGTTTTCTCAGAGATCTCGGAGTCTGAGCGAATATGCACCAGTGGTCGTTGTGGCGTTCTGTTTCCCACACCCATCAAGGTTATCATTCAGAACAGGAGAGGTTAAAAATTTCTCAAACAAAAGGTAAAGGAGTTCATCACCACTAAACCAGATTTACAAGAAATGTTAAAGTGAATACTTTGGAAAGAAAAGGCCATGACTAGAAGAAAATCATTAATGGAAAAAATTTCACAGGTAAAAGCAAACATATAGTGAAGGTAGTAGATGAATCACTGATAAAGCCAATATGGAGGTTAAAACAAAAGTAGTAAAATCAATATCTATAAATAACAGTCAAGGAATACACAAAATAAAAAGATGCAAAATATGGTATATACAAAAAACCTGGAGAGGGGAGTAAAAATTGAGCGCTTTTAGAATGTGTTTAAACTTCAGTGAGCATCAACTTAATAAAGACAGCTATATACATAAGATGTTATATATGAACCCAATGGTAACCACAAATAAGAAACATTCAACAGATACAAAAAAGTAATAAAAAACAACATAAAAAGAAAGGAATACAAGTATAACACTAAATAAAGACATCAAACCACAAGGGAAAAGAGTAAGAGAAAAGGAACAAAGAATTACAAAAACATACAGAAAACAATTAACAAAATGACAGTAAGTACATACCTATCAATAATTACTTTAAATGTAAATATACTAAATGCTCCAATCAA